AGGGGTCCCTATGTCCTCCAGCAGTCTAAGCCTATAGCAGCAGAACTATAGAGATAGATCAGGATAACCTGAGCCACTCTAACTAGAAGTTAACTGAGGTTCCACTTTATGGACCCAAACCAGGCGTGAAGAACCGTTGTCTGCTGGTCTATCTAGATACAGGAGGAGGTCCGAGTCGTCAGAACTAGTCTCACATTTCAATGGTGTTTTAATTATTAGCAGAAAGATCTTCATTCAGGAACATCTGGGTCCAGGAAACCACGACATGATCCAGAGAGGATTTGGAAGCAGAGCAGAATGTTATGGAGGAGATTGGATCAGCAGACAGCTTAGCTGGCCACCAGAGGGCAGTAGTGGTGGCATCACAGCCTGTGAGCATCAGGCTGAAGGTCAGCTGTAAAGGAGCTGTGATCAGGCTGCTTCCAGAACCCAGCTGGAGACACCTGAGCTGCTTCTGTCCAATCAGATGGAGGCGGTCTGGACATCTTTCTGTAGTAGAGCAACATAGAGATCTCATGTGAAATAAACAACATTTAATCATTTAAACTTTTCCCCCAATTGGAGTTATTTTTATGGCAGCCCCTCTGCTCCTCTAACCCCGCCCTCGCCGCCGCCTCTAACCCCGCCCTCGCCGCCGCCCAGCAGACTGAGCCGGTCGGAGCCATGAAAGCAGGTAGGTCGGAGCTGCGGTCCAACTTTACTGGGTTTTCGGTTCGGGAGGCTGGTGCTGATATAGATCAGGCTGTTCTAACTCCTCTTCCTCTTCAAAGCCGCTTTATCATCAGAACCAGAACCGGTTCCGGTTCCGGTTCAGGTTCTGTCAGTGGCGGACTAAACCGTGTCAAAGATTCAGATCCTGAAAACGTCTTTAATGATTTATTGTGATGATTTCAGTGATGATCTGAACATGATCCATCCTTCATAGATTGGTTCTGTCTGCAGCATCTGTGGGGCTGGATTCTAATCTGGACATTTCTAGAAGCTGCTATCTTTTATTTTTCCTTATGAGTGTTAATATTTCAGAAGCTCTAAACATTAAACAGGTTAAACTTTGAATTTGTTTATAATGTTTATATTTCACATATTAATTGATTGATTAATGAATTACTTTCCGGCTCCTCAATGTTGAGAATCAGTGCAGAAAATAGAAAGTTAGATTTCCTCCATTTATTGTCTGCATGAAGACTTGATGATCAGAAGCAGCTTTGATCTGTTTAGATGAAGAATAAAAGTTTGATTATTTATTTACTTTGATGAAAATCATGGAAGCTGTGAGATTATTTCTGCTGTTCCTCATGATGGCCGCTGTAGATATCCTCCTCATAGAT